AGAGAAACAACTCCCTTCACAATAGCCACAAATAATATAAAATATCTTGGGGTAACACTAACCAAAGAAGTGAAAGACTTGTTTAACAAGAACTTTTAAGTCTTTGACAAAAGAAACTGAAGAAGATACCAGAAAATTAAAGATCTCCAATGCTCTTGGATAGGCAGGATCAAAAATGGCAATCCTACCAAAAGCAATCTACAGATCCAATGAAATCCCCATCAAAATCCCAACACAATTCTTCACAAACCTTGAAAGAATACTCAACTTCACATGGAAAAACAAAAAACTCAGGATAGCCAAAACAATCCTGTACAATAAAGGAACTTCAGGAGGCATTACAATCCCTGACATCAAACTCTATTATAGAGCTACAGTAATGAAATCAGCCTAGTATTGGCATAAAAACAGACAAGTTGACCAACAGAATCAAATCAAAGACCTGGATATTAATCCACACACCTATGAACACCTGATTCTTGACAATAAAGCTAAAATTATACAATGGAAAAAAGAAAGCATCTTCAACAAATGGTGCTGGCATAACTGGATGTCAACATGTAGAATAATGAAAATAGATCCATATCTATTGTCATACACAAAACTCAAGTCCAAATGGATTAAAGACCTCAATATAAATCCGACCACATTGAACCTGATAGAAGAGAAAGTGGGAAGCAGCCTTCAATGCATGGGCACAGGAGACCACTTCCTAAATATAACACCAGTAGCACAGACACTGAGACCGAAAGAAAATAACTAAATAACTAAATAAATGGGACCTCCTGAAACTGAGAAGACAAAAAGACAGTCTACTGAATAAGAAAAGATCTTCATCAACTCCACATCAGAGATCTCCAAAACATATAAAGAACTCAAGAAATTAGACATCAAAATACCAAACAATCCAATTAAAAAATGGGGCACAGATCTAAACAGAGGATTTTCAACAGAAGAATCTCAAATGGCCACAAGACACTTAAGGAAATATTCAAAATCCTTAGCCATCAGAGAAATGCAAATCAAAACGACTCTGAGATACCATATTACACCTGTAAGAATGACTAAGATCAAAAACACCAATGATAGCTTATGCTGGAGAGGATGCGGAATAAGGGGAACACTCCTCCATTGCTGGTGGGAATGCAAACTTGTACAACCACTCTGAAAATCAGTATGGCAGTTTCTCAAAAAACTGGGAATCAACCTACCTATGGATCCAGAAATACCACTCTTGGGCATATACCCAAAGGATGTTCAATCATACTACAAGGACATTGGTTCAAATATGCTCATAGCAGCATTATTTTAATAGCCAGAAAGAACCTGGAAACAATCTAGATGCCCCTCAACTGAAGAATGGATAAAGAAAATGTGGTACATTTATACAATGGAGTACTACTCAGTGGTAAAAGACAATGACATCTTGAAATTTGTATGCAAATGGATAGAACTAGAAAAATACATCCTGAGTGAGTTAACCCAGATCCAGAAAGATGCTCATGGTATATGTACCTGCTCATAAGTGGATACTAACTGTAAAGCAAAGGATAGTGAGTCTATAGTCCACAATCCCAGAGAAGCTAAGTAACAAGGAGAACCCTTCGAGAAACAGATATAGGTCTCTCTGGGAAGGGGAAACAGACAAGATCTCCTGAGAAAATTGGAAGCATGGGGGTGGGGTGAGAAGGGAGGGAAGAAGGGAAGGAGAAGGGGAGAAGCGAAAGGGGGAGGAGAACTTGAGGGAATGGGATAGTCAAGATGGCAGAAGGTCAGAGACTGAGAGCAAGGAAAGAGATATATTGATTGAGGGAGCCATTATGGGGTTAACAAGAAACCTGGCACTACAGAAATTCCCAGGAACCCACAAGGATGACACCAGCTAAGACCTTAAGCAATAGTGGAGAGAGTGCCCAAACTGACCTTGCCCTGTAGTCAGACTGATACTATCTTAAATGTCACCATAGAGCCTTCATCCAACAACTGATGGAAGTATAGGCAGAGAGACACAGCGGAGCACTGGGCTGAGCTCCCAAAGTCCAGTCCAAGAGTGGGAGGAGTGAGAATATGAGCAAAGAGATCAAGATCATGATGGGGACACCCCTGAAATAGCTTACCTGAGCTAATGGTAGCTCACCATCTCTGGCTGGACAGGGAAGGAACCAGCATAGGACCAAATTAAACCCCTGGAATGTGGGTGACAGTTGTATGGCTGGGGCAGACTGCGGGGATACTGGCAGTGGGACCATGATTTATCCCTACTGCTTATAATGGCTTTTGGGAACCCATTCTCTTTGGAGGGATACCTTACTCAGACTAGATATAGTAGGGAGAGCCTTGGTTCTTCCTCAAAGCAATGTGCCTTACCTTCTCTGAGGAGTGGACTGGGGCAGGGGAGGTAGGAGAGAAGGTGGAGGGGATGGGAAGTGGGGAGGGAGTGGGAAATGGTATTGGTATGTAAAAAAAAAGAGTTGTTTTTAATAAAAAATGGTAAAAAAAAGTTGTACAGAGTTTTGGGTAATCTTAGGGACATACAGAGCTTTACATCTTCCTAGCTTTCCTTCTTTTTTCTATATAAATCAGAGGAAAATGCCACTTACAGAAGTTAGGTCAAGGGTCCTGAGTTTAGGTCACTGACATGATTATTCCTCCCATTCCTCTGCTGACCAGTCTCCCTATCGGCCAGAAGAACCTGCCTCCTCCTTGAGTATCCTGTACACTCTAAGTGCTGGTTGGTGTCCTTCTCGGTGGCAGTATTTCATTAACTTGCTGTCAGTACCACAGTTTAGGCTCCCTTTATTTTCCATCTCAATTGCCAGAATCATCTCCCTGCTGGTTTCCTCACTGCCAGCCCCTCTGATCTTACAGTCCACCCTGTTCATCTCTACTAACTTAAAAATCCTAAAATGTTGCTTTTGCTGCATCACTCCCTATTCAAGGCTTTCTCCAGAGCACAAAATCCTCTGCCTGGATGTTCAATAATCTCCTTAGAAAATCCAGACACAGCCTTGCTGTTGCAGGAACATGACATGGCACCCCTGAAGCCTCAACACAGAGAAAGGGTTACGACTAAGTCCACTGGGAACCTCTGTCCACTCAGATGGAAGTGTATGTTACAAAGGTGATGGAGGTACAAATAAAAAAAGAGGCAAATAACTCAGACACATTTTTATGTACTTTAAATACATGGGCAATTATTAGACTCGACACCTGAAACAAACAATAATTGGGAAGCATTTGTTACAAATGAAAGAGAACTTACCTGGTAAAGGCAGGATGCTGTTCCAAGGAAAAATGCAATGATGTAATTGAGATCCTCACCATCACTCTGCAAAAAAAAAAAAAGATTACCTTTTTGCTGGCAGCATCTACTTAAACAAATGATCTACCAAGATAGGCTATGACAATGTTTATGCATAGTCAAACATTTTTGCAGAGCAGTGTATAAAAAATTATGAGTCTTGAAAAGAGAAATATAGAACACATGGTAAGACAGAGGAAGGGAAGGATATTCTGGAGCAGTTAAAAGCAGCAGTTAAAAGCACTGACTGTTTTTCCAGAGGACAGGAATTCAATGAGCACCCACATTGACTCACAACCATCTGTAACTCCATGGGATCCAATGCTTCCGGAACCTCCATGTATTCTGGGCATACAAGTGGTACACAGACGTACATGTAGACAAAACACGCAGACACATAAAGTGAACTTAAATTTAAAAGGCAGAGAAATGGGAAGTTGAGGAAAACTCCAAGCATTCTGTGTCTTGGCCTCACCTGTCAATGGCATCTCACCTCAGGAAAGATGAGAAGCACCAGGGAAAAGCTAGCTCCCTCATGACACATAACATCTCTTCCTTATAGTAAAGCTACATAAACATGCATAACACACCAGCAGGTGACCGACCAGGTTCCTCCTATTCACGAGGGTCAATGAGTAAATAAACTGACAAACTTTACTACCCAGACGCACATCAACGAATTGTTCAATAAAGTAACTTGACATGATCAATAAAATGGTGGCAACTGAAAAGCTACTGTCCACTAGAGTGTGCTAAATCCCACAGAGAAAGATCAGGACTGGCTCTAGGGTCACTGTGCTAGCACACAGCAGCCAGGAAGAACAGCCAGGGCCTGTGCAAAACACACACATAACCACTCATGCTGCCCCTGGTGTCCTGCGAAGTGTCAGCATGCATGTGTGAGCAGCACAGAAAGCCCAGGCAGGAGGAGGAAGAGTGTTTTCTTCTATGCAGGCACATTATACGAGGCCCCTTTTTCTTATTTTATAACAAATAATTTTCTTTTTCCTACAAAGTCTTATTATGTAGCCCAGGACAGCCTCAAAGGCTCAATCTCCTTACCTCAGCTTCCTAAATGCTGGGATTTCAGGAAGGTGGGGGGAGCATTTTATAATAGAAATAAATTGTTTTAGTGCAGTGGATTGCGTAAAGAACAGTCCACAAGGCAGAGGAAAGTGGCTTATCCTAGTGTGATCTTAAAACAGGAGCATTAATCTTCTTAGGATGCTCAGTCAGTTCTCCCCTAGAGGCAGGAAGGGCCTTTCCATGTCTATAATTCAAAGACTTTAAATAAGCTCTGATTATTTTTTAGTCCTTTTTCCTGATTATAAAAGTTTATGTTCATTGTAGAAAATTGTGGAAGACACAGATTTTACGAAAAAAAAAAAAAGCCCATGTAGTTCATAATCTCACATATGAGGAAAACTATTGTTAACCCTTTCATGTATTTCTGGTCCTTAGTCTCTACCTCTCCCCACCCTCCACTGCCAAAGAAATGGAGCCATCCTCTTGCATGCTGCTCTTTTGTTGCATCATTTCCCAACATAGTCAATATCCCTCAGCCACAGGCTATGTAGAAGAATGTGTAGCCTTTCCCTATGTAGTAGGACTTCATTACTGCCCTATACAGTAAGGTTGGTTTTTCTCTAAACTTATACTGCCATTTGAAACCTCTCTTCATTTTCTTTAGCTCTAAACACATGTTCCAGAGTCAGTCTGACCTGTGCTAAAATCTTTATTTACAAGCTATGTTTTTGATTGCTTAGTGTGTTTCTTTTTTAGAAAACAGAAGTAGATCATTTCTGCTTTGTAGTAACTATTCCAAACACTTTAGAGAATCACTGGTGCCTGTTAGCCCTTAGGCCCATGGAGTCTAAGCCTTCATCCCACACAGTGGGAAGATGAGACCCACAGCAACTGCCTAAGGCCATTCATTGCACTAGTACTGGTGAGGAGACTGCAGGTCTCCTGACCTCTAGGGCAGGACTTCTAATACACCACACGAAAATTACTTCTGGGTTGGCATCAGCCTAATTATTAGTGTTTCAAAACTGATCCTTAGAAGAAGCCATGCAATAAAAAACAATGTGATAAAAGCATACGCATTCCTAAGATGTCAACTCACAACAACCTTATTAACATCTCTGAACTCAGAACAAAGCTAGGAAGCAAGTGCAAACAATCTAATTTACACATTACTGTGAACATAAAATCAAATTATCAACTTAAAAATATATATACACACAGACCCAACAAAGAAAACCTTCAGTGCCACATTCTTTTAATAAATCCCTCTCACACTGAGAAGTAGTTACTAATTTAGCATAGGCGAATTTGTGCCGAATCTTTTTTCATTTTCTACACATTTTATTTGTATGTGTGTATGAACATGCATATAGGCATACACATACACATGCCACAGCACATATATGGAGGCCAAGGAAAGCCTGCAGGAGTCATTTTCTCCTTCCATCTTGTGGGTCCAGGGATTAAACCCAGGTTATTAGACTTGGCAGCCAAGTGCCTTTCCCAGAAGAGTCATCATATCAGCGCATTTATCCTGAATTTGAAACAATGACAATACACAGGAATGCTGATTCATTGAGTCTTCTAATTTAATGTGCCACAAGCACAAGGTAACATAGAAGATAAATGCTGCAACCATTTTTAGTATTTATAAATCAAGGTTATAAAACTGTTACTTTAAATTACCACCTATATACTATTCAAAATCAGGAAAATACAATATAATATTCTCTAGATCTAAAATTAAAATTTCCAAATAAATCCTTTGTTTTTCTTTTTTTTTTTCTTTAAAGACAGGGTCTCAGTGTGTAGTCCTGTCTGGTGTGGAACTTGCTGGGAAGCTCAGGCTGACCTAGAACTCACAGAGATCTCTTGCCTCGGCACTCCCAGTGCTGAGATTAAAGGCGTGTGCCACTACACCCAAGCAAATCCTTTAATTAAGTTTTATAGAAATATAGAGGCTGTTGGTTCTGGGACTGTCTTTTCTCCTCTTTCATCACCAAGATCTGAATAACTCCACTTAGGTAGGATTTGTACAAAATTCTACAGGGAAGACACCGTCAGTAAGATCTATTTAACTTGTGATTTAAAGAGGTTATCCTAACATAAAATGCACTGATAACCTAGAGGAGCTAGGATCAAGTCCAATGGCTATAATGAAGAAAAAATAACTCTTCATCCTATCCAAGCTGTGAACCTAACTCTGAGGGGAAAAAAAAGTGACTAATATCAGCCCATTGTGCCATAAAAGATTTACCCATACCTGAAATTTTAGTACTTGAAAAATCCACCAATTAAGCTGGAGTAACAAAAGTTTTTTTTCTTCTTTCTGCCTAAAAGTACTGTTATTCATTGCTGAGGATTGAACCCAAGGTATAACACATAAAAAATATGATTTTTTAAAAAAATATTGAAGCCAAGGTATAAATAAGTAGTATCCTCCTAGCCAAGCCCTTGTTTTGATAAGCAATATTTATACGGTTCAAAGTAAAGACAATCTATGAAGAGGCACTTAGTGAAGCCTTGCAGCCACTCTGTTTCCCACGCCTTGCAGCCACTCTGTTTCCCACCCGTCCTTTCCCAGCATGTTTGTTACTTTCTTATCCTTACAGAGTTTGTTTATGCAAATGAAACACACTGTTATTCTACCAGACAATCCTGGGGGGGGGGGTCTGTGTGTGGTGGGGTAAGCTGACAGGGTCTACTGGGTACAAGGTCAATACATCTGGCCTGAATTCCACCGGCATTCTCAAAATGCCCATTACTTTGAGGGCACAAAATTATAAAAATGAACTTTAAGACACAGATCAGATTCCTGAACCAGGCTCCATTCTAACTGGGACATCAAGGTCCTCACATGATCAATGCAGGGGAAAGGCTCAGGCCCCCCAACACAGAGAAGCCTAATTCACACTTATAAGAGCAGTCTGGGTTCAACAGGTTGTACTTTTAACTACTGCCAAGTAGAGCTGCACCTCACTGAAGAACATCAAAACATCAAAGTTCAGGGTAAGAATACGCCTATCTTTCTAGTTTCCCTTGGACTTAACATCAAAGAGAAGTCCTTTGTTCTACTGTTGACTTTGAAAATACTTTTTTTTTTTTTAAAGACATGGTCTCACTAGGTAGCTATGACTGACCTGGAACAAAAGAGAAATGCACCTGCTTCTGCCTCCCAAATGCTGTATTAAAGGAGTGTGCCATGGGCCCAACTAAAATAGATTTAATTTTTTAGATTAGCCTTAGGCATACAGAAAATTGAGCAGAGACTCTCCAGATGCCTCCCCTCCCTGCTCAGTGTCTAGTAACAACTGGAATCAGTGTGATACATTTATCACATATGCTGAGCTAGTCTTGACACATTGTTGCTTCTAAAGTTCACTCTTCCGGTTTGGACACATGGACAATAGCAGGCACCCACCATTACAGTCACACAAGACCACTTCACAACTCTAATAATCTCAGACAGCTGCCTCTCTTCCCAGTCCAGCAACTACAGGTCTACAGGTCTGCCTCTTGCAGAAAGTGTCCACTGTGTAGTTTCTCGGGCTAGCTGCTTTCATCAGGCAATATGCACCTAAGGAGGTTTCCATGCACCTAAGAGGACAGCCATTTCTTCTATTACTAAATGTTAGTCCACTGTATGAATTACTACCATTTACCATTCATCTTCCAGAATTGCTTCTTTGAAATTGGTTGATATAAATATTCACATGTTGAAAGTGCTCTACTCACCTGGTGAGAGACACTTAAGAGCACTATTGCTACATGATAGAGTAAAGCTATGTTTAGCTCTGTGAGAAACAGCCCAACTGTTTTCCAAAGTGGCCATAACATTTTGTACTCCCAACTTAGCAGCAAATGACAGTTCCTTATTCCACATCCCCATCAGCATTGGGAAGTGTCAGCTATCAGGGCAGGTTCTAACAGGTGTTTAGTGGCATCATCTTGTAAACTTGTGGTTCCTTGATGGCATACGAGATCCAGCATTTTTTTTTACAAGCCTGTCATCTGCAGCATCTTCTGTGGTGAGGTTGTTTACTGATCTTTAGACCATTGTCAGTGGGTTGATTTGCATTTTTTTTGAGTTTGAGGTGTTCTTTCTGTGATTTAGAATGACCATCTCCCCTTCTTAAAGGTTTCTTTCCATTTATGTGTGAATAAATGTATATTACGAGCATGCAGGTGCTCTTGGAGGCCATAAGAGGGTGTCAGAGCCCTTGGAGCTGGAGTTATAGTTGTGAGACACCCAGGATAGGTGCTGGGAACTCCTGAAGAGAGGCAGTAATAGGCACTCTTCACTGGAGCCATCTCCAGCCTTACAAAGTAAAGGCCTTTATCAGAGATGCTCGCAAAGCATCTTTTCCTAGCCTGTGGCTTTTTTCATTTTCTTGATTCACAGAACAGACTTTGTTAGGTTTTAATGACATTTAGCAGCCTATTTTTCTTTCCAACACTTTTGGTGCTATGCTTAAAAACTCATTTTCAGACTCTAGGATCACACAGGTTTTCTCTTCTGCTATTTTTTAAGATTTGTTCTTTTCGTTTAGTTCCATGACCCATTCTGATTTCCTATTTATTCCTTGGCATGTGGTTTTCCAGTTGTTCCAGAACCATGTTAAAATGACTGATCTGTCTCCATTGATTTGCTTTTGTTTCTTTATCAAAGATCAGGGAGCTCTATGGATGTAAGTTTATCTCTAGGTTCTTAATTCTGTCACAGTAATCTACTGTTTATTCCTTTGCCAATTCATACTGTCTTAATTACTGTAGTTTATAGTAAGTCTTAAAGTTGGACAATGTGAGCTCCCACTTTTGTTCTTCATCAGTACTGTGTAGAACATTCTGGGTATGAAATAGTAATAAACAGTCTGCTCCTCACACAGAGTTCCTAAAACCCTTATAAAGGTGCTAGAAAAATCTTTTGCTTCGATTAGTCTTTGACAGCAGTCTTGTCACAGATCCCCTAAGATCGTTCTAATTTCTTGAGTTATAGAAGGATTTGACCCAGAATTACCACCTCTTGGAATTTCTTGTGTAAGGAGGACAGCTTTTGTTTTGAAGCAACTCTTGATAGAGTCCTAGATCAGTGCTAGATACCAGAAAAGACCACAGCTGGATGCCTGGGATTTCTATCTCCATTCCAATCTTCCAGGGAGGAGAGGAGAGATAAGAAGGTTAATAACCAATCATACCCCCCCCCCAATCTTTAAAACACAGAGTTTGGAGAACTTCTAAGTTGGTGAACATCTCAACATGTGAGGAAATGTGGGCAAACCCAGCCCCACAGGGACAGAAACCCATATCCAGAGCTTTCCCAACCTCTCCCTATGTAGTTCTTAATCCATCTGTATCCTTTGAAATACTCTTTATAATTAACCAGAGCTGATCCAAAAACTATGCCACCAAATCTTGCTCCAAGAGAGAGTTGTACAAACCTCCAATTTATAGCCAGCTAGTCATCCTTACAATCTGGTCCTATGACTGACACCTGAAGGAAGGGTAGGCCCATAAAACCAAGCCCTTAGCATGTGAGTTCTGTCCTAACTCTAAGTAGACAGTATTAAAACTGAACTAAATTGGCCAGGCAGTGGTGGCACATGCCTTTAATCCCAGCACTCAGGAGGCAGAGGTGGGCGGATCTCTGTAAATTCAAGGCCAGCCTGGTCTACTAACAGCTAGTTCCAGAATAGGCACCAAAACTACACAGAGAAACCTGGTCAAAAAAAATCCGAACTAAACTGCAGGACACCTAGATGCAATTGGAGAATTGCTTGCTATGGAAAGACCTACCACTACTCTGGTGGCAGAAGTGAAATTTTGAGTTTTGTTGATGAGAATACAGAACAAAAGCATTTTGTTCTTTTCTACATACTGGGTCTTTTGTTTTTCCATATAAACTTTGCAATCACTTTATGGAATCCACAGAGTAACTTTCTGGGATTTTGACAGGGATTGTGTTTAATCTATGCATTAGGGCAGAAAGAACCAACAGCTCAACAACACTGAGTTTTCCTCTCTAATGTGGAATCTCTCTCCATTTATTTAATCTTCCATTTCTTTGGTCAGAGTTTATAATCTACTTCATATCAGTCCTGTGAGTGTTTTATATTTATTTGTAAGTACTTCTTTTTTAGGACTTTCAATTCTCAATTGTGTGCTGCTGGAATTTAAGAAATTTTTATACAGTACAAGCTCCCTCCAGTATACAACTATACTCCCATCAGTTTCAGGGGCTGGTTGTTGTTCTTAGGAGTCATTATACAGCTAATCATGCCATCTGCAAACCTATCTTTTCCTTCCATATGTATTTTTTCCTCTTCACCTTACTGCATCAGCTAGGATTTCCATCAGAGGAGGTGCCTTCATCCTATTTCTGTCTTAGGGGGAAAGTATCTATCTAGCTCCTTGTCACTAAAGGTGTTAGTTGCTTGAGATTTGAAAATTCCTGGTTTGCTCCAAGCTGTGTTTTGGGGTTTTTTGTTTTTGCTTTTTTTTTTTTTTAAATCATGATGAAGGACTTTGGGACTTTGTCAAATGCCTTTCTGTATCTACTGATGTGATCATGTGATTATTATTTCTCCTTTAGACTGTTGAAGTGATAGCAGTAATTGATTTCAAATCAGCATTGCACACCTGGGATAAATCCCACTTGGTTGTTATATAATTATTTTTATTTGTTATTATAGTTTGATTTATTAGATAAATTGTGAAGCTGTCTTTTAAAAATATAAACAAGGTGAGAAATCTTAGCACAAAGCATCAATTACATCCAAGTAGTAAATAGTTTGATCAGATTATTCTTCTAAAACCTAAAATTGCATCACTGCAATTAGACAAGTGTATTACTGATTAGAAAGAGAACACAGAACAATTAGCAATGAAGAGAAGCTTAAGCCAATTGCAGCATTTCAAAAGCATTACAGACTATAGTACACAAAAACTTCCTTTAGTTTTTCAGTTATGAACCAGAAGAGGAAGGAGAGACTCAGCTCCAGAAAAGAAAGGACAAGATAACTGAGAGCATAAAGGAAATCACAGTCATCTTTAGTAGGCTGTGCCAGAGCTCTAGCCTTGATAGGCTCTGAGCCCAGCTCCTGCAGCTTCCATATGATATTCAGTCAGGATGTAAACAAGGTTTTGTGATGGGAAAGCTTTCTCTACCTAGGGCTACTCTAGCTAGAAAAGCTAACTCTTCACACCCTACCCCATGTTTTTTCTATACATCAATAAAATGGTTTCCAAAGATGTCTTTATTTATTATTAGCCTTTTTAGTCAGCAGTTTCCAAAGTGCCCATTTCTTGTCATTGACAGCTTATCTGGCTGGCTGAAAATTGAACTGCTGAAATAAATCCAACCTTGCAGAGGTGTAGTGCACCACGCCCGTCTGCAGTCTATGAGCTACCATACAGTTTGTGAACCAGGCAAGGGGCTGGAGATTGAAACACACAAAGACTCACAGACACACAGACACGGTCATCCTTGAAATAAGAATGCCCCCTTTATTGTGTCCAGGGGCAACTTATATAGAGATCCTTAACTGACAGCTACACCCCAGCCAAACCCACCAGAAACCACTACCCTGCCATCAGGAACTCCTGAGGGTCTCGTGCTCAGAGCAGCTGCAAGCATTACAAGTTGTTTATCAGAAATTCAGGATCTGGGGGGGGTTCACAGCTCCCAACACAGAGGGATGGGACAGAAGGCAGAGGAATGACAACCAGCATCCTATGCCTAAAAGGGGCAGGAGCTTTACCTGTGAGTTAACTGTTTGGAAGAAAATCTTAAGAGGACGCCCCAGGCATCCCTTTTAGGAACCATGATGTCATCTTTTTTTCAGTTGGCTTTAGGTAGCTGAACACAGAGAACATGGAGAATGGTACCATAAACCTAGCATGGTAAGCAGGTTTTTATAGATAGTATCCTGAACTTAATGCTACAGAGAGAGAGAGAGAGAGAGAGAGAGAGAGAGAGAGAGAGAGAGAGAGAGAGAGAGAGAGAGAGAGAGAGAGAGAAAGTGCAGGTTTTTATAAATGGATTCCTGAACTTAATGGTGGAGACAGACAGGCACACATGCACACAAACAGAGACAGAGAGAGAACTCTGATTTATAATGTGATATATCAAGAACTCTTGGGAAAATAGAGAATGGGAACAAAGGAAAAGACAACTGTGCATCTAAAACCTGATGGACTTAGACAGTTTGGTAGCTAACGACCTGGAATATGAAGTGCCTGAAGAAACCAGTGTCTCTGCTGCTAACCAGGCAGCTCAGGTCTGAAAAGGCCACTGAGCAGAAGGAAAAGCAGCAGCACTTACTAAGGAACACCCAGGAGCAGTGTCCATGTGGACTGTCTTCCTGCTCCTACTTTCCTCTCCCTCTTGCTCTTCCAAGACCGGCTCACCGTCTCTTCTCACCTCTTCTGAATCACAGTAATCTCTCCTCTTCTGGCTCTAAGAACTTAGTTATTACTCCCATACGTCTTTGCCTATCAAATTCAACTTTAACCTGTGAGAATGCAGGGTCCATGCTACATAGCTAGATGTTCCCCAGTGCCTGTCAACAATGCCTCTAAACGAGTGGATGATAAGGGAACATGTCAACCAGAAGTCAGTACTTTTTGGGTGGTGGGTGCTTTTGTGGGTTTTGTTTTTTGTTTTGAGACAGGGTTTCATTACACAACCAAGCTAGCCTAGAACTCACTAAGTGGTTTCAGCTGGCCTCAGATTTATACCCCTCTTGCTTCAGCCTCCCACGGGCCAGGATTACAGGCATGCTACTGTAACCATGCTTTTGAAAGAAGGTATCAAAGGCAAGTACAAGAACACAGATTTTGAGTTTGTGTTGTAAATTATACTAAATCTAATCCAATTCAAATCAACTATGTAACAAGCAGAATGAATAGACACAGTCACCTGACACTGCAAAAATAGCACAGTACCTGCAGGAGGCTTTCTATGGCGTGAAAGCCTCGAATTAAGTTCAGAGCTCCACATAAGAGACTAAGGATAAACGCCACGATCCCTGACAGAGTTGCTGGTTCCAATCGCTGATGTGCTGGGAGAGAAAAAAAAAAATAGTTAGAAATGAATACCAGCATCTCATGCTAGCTAAGCTTATGTCAACCCAAATTCACTGTTCAACTTAGATGTATTCAAAGTAAATAACTTTAAAGAATATACCTTACTAATTAAATAGTTCCCAGTCTCCCAAAGCAGGGTTTCTCTGTGTAGCCCTGGCTGTTCTGGAACTCACTCTGCAGACCTCAACTACAGAGATCTGACTGGCTCAGAGATCTGCCTGCCTCTGCCTCAATGTGCTGGGATTAAAGGTGTGTGACACCATACCCAGCTGAAATATTCTTTCTAAAATAAAAAATATGTGACAACATAAAAGTCCCATTCTCAAGTCAAATGGAACTAATATTGTTTTTCTACATTTTAATAGATGCACCTAACTTCTATTTTCAATAAAAGATGCTATATATGGAGTACCCACATCTGTCAGTAAATAACTTGAGGGAACTTACTAGCAAAAAATATGCACAATTTTCAATTTGGTACAAGCATTTTCACAAGATGACTTTGCTTGGAGAGTCAATGTGAAGCTCCTATGCTTTCTGAAAATGCTTAGACAACATTCTTAAAGATAAATATAGCTTGCTTTTAGGCAAAGCCCATGTATTTGGGACAGAAGACTATAGACACCACTGGCTATATGTAAAGCTTATTCATAATCACCACCCAAGCTCTTTAATAGAGTGTACAGTCTTGCAGCTAGGAAGACTGCACCCTTGGTCTCTTGAAGGTAAAAGTGACTAAAATAAAACCACACCAGAACCAAACCAGCTGCATATATTGCCATTTCATCTTTAAAAACATTCCCTTAACTTTCAGGCTTCAACAAAGTAAAATATTTTGTTATACAATCATTTCCCTTCATGATCATTTCACAATTATTAGGATTTACAATTGTGACTAAATGAAATCAAACTAAACACATAACCAGTAGACTTCAAAAAGGACACTGCCAAAGAGGACATCAGAACCACATTTTCATTACTTTATCTAAACCACTGAAGTGTAAAAACCCAACAATGAAGTTAATGAGGCAGAACATTAATAAAGAAAAAGCTCAGATCTTTGCAAATTATATTCAGCCATCACAGCAGAAAAGATTCCCCAAAGAGTTAATAAAAACCCAAAAACCTACATCTCATGAACTATTCTTCAGGATCAGCAGAAAGTACTAATCTAGAATAACAGTCATAATTTCTTCTTTGCCCGTGTCTAGTCTTTCAATAAACTCTCTTGAGATTCTACTGTGAAAACAGAAAACCAAATATCGCTGTGTAGTATTGATAGCATGGTCTTTCAGCAGTGAGAAAAAAGTCACACTAGTCATATTTTGGAGAATCTGTCCCTCTTGGTCCATCCTTTCTCAGAAAGAGGTAAATTGGACTATCATAAAAAGCAAATGGGCTTTAGGAATAAAACCAACTGACAACTGAGTAATTATCAAATATAGTTATCAAATCACACTTCCATATGAAACAAGGTACCCATTAAAAAAAAACCAACAGTGAAAATTAAAGCTTTACATGGTCAATTCAGGTGTGTTCAAAGGAAATCTGATACCATTTCATGTGTTGATGGCATGTATTTAAGAAATAAACAAGCCGATATACATTATTAAGTTTCTAACACCTGCCTTTTAGCCTCAGGACATGTGTTTTATAATAATAGTATACCATTTATGAATTCATCATTTCAAAATGACCACAGGTATTTTTAAAAGGTAAAAGCAAGTGCTAAACCTCTTCTAATGAAGACAAGGAAAGCACTGTGCACAAGGGCAGGCTGCACAGTGCCCATTTACTGTGGGCAAGAAATTCTAATGTGTTGACTTCCCTGCTTTATCCTCACCCCTTTCCCGGGACCTGTGGCTAGTTTTTCAAGAAGTGCTATCAAGCGAACTTTATTCTACAAACACAAGAGGATGGCATCACAGAAGGGCACTTTCCCAGTTTGAGAAACAAAGGAGGTACTTAACTACATTGTAATGTATTTACTGCGTGCTCTCTGCTATTCAGTGAAACAGATTCTAGATCTGCTGTAACCCAAGAAAAGTTTGAGGCACACTCAGTTTGGCACTAGGCCAGAAACTAGTATATAGCATATATCTGAGCCATGACAAATGAGGGGCTATGCAGAAATAACATGGATTTTTGTTTGTTTCCTGAAGCCGGGTAGCATCACCCAAACGGCTTTCTCAATTTGCTACTGTCAGATGTGCAGAGAACCAAAGGCACCTGCGGTGGGGGGGGTGGAGGTCTAGAAGGAATTATGTGGCTAATGGTACCTACATATAGACCAGAAAACATCTGGATGCAAAAAATGGTATCCAATCTATTGTCTAAGAGATGTTTGTTGACACTGTAAGGCAGTTTCAGAAGCGAAGCTGAAGGCAAAATTCAGACATCAAGAAGTGAAATAACTGGTGATGCTGAGCTAAGAGCATGGGTGTGTGTTTTTGTGTCAAAGTAGATAGTCGGGATGGAAGACTAACACAAAACAGGATTGAGAGAGCCATTCTCACACAGTGTGTATAGGGAAGAAAGACAGTTCAGAAAGGCTGAAACAGAAAAAAGAAGAAGAAAAAAAGGAAAGCAGAGTAGCATCTATCGTGAAGACTTGCAAAGATGGTGGACTAAACAGTCCCTCTGCTCAACATCGGAGTGTACAAGGTACATCACTGAAGAAAGCATGTCCCTTAGTAAACATAACTTACTCCCTAGAGTACAAAATAATATACTAACTTGATGACACACCTTCCTAATCACAATGAGTCTCTTTTTTCTTTCCTTCCTTGCCCCTCATTTTTTTTATGACTTACTTATTTTATGTATAAGTGCTCTATCACCATGTACAACTTTATTCCAGAAGAGGGCACCAGATTCCACTAGCGATGGTTGTTAGCCACTGTGTGGTTGCTGGGTAATGAACTCAGGACCTCTGAAAGAGCAGGCAATGGTCTTAACCACTGATTCATGTCTCCAGTCCCCCCCACTCCCACACACACACACTTTTTTTTAGAGAGGGATTCACCATGTGGCCCACGCTGGCCTCAAACTCATGATTCCCCTGACTCAATCCAATCTCCTGATTGCTAACATTATAGGCATTTGCTATTTACAATTCCTGGTCAGCCTTGTACTTTTTTTTTTATTAGATTATATACTTATTCCCATCTTGAAAGTGTTTACTAATTTCATAAAATGCCTCCACAATGACTAGCACAATAATTCAGAGAAAACTATTGGGCAAAATAGAGTAATATTTTATGGCAACTGATAAGTTGTCTATAAAGTTCCCAAAATGGATGAAGATTAAAGAGATGTCAGAAACTGAAGGAATTTGTGACTTTTCAAAAGGAAAAAGTAGGAACAGAATAAATTTTAAAAGACTAACATTAAATATGGAAAGGGTATGGAGGAATGGCCTGCTTTTAGCTCAAATACCCTCTCTGTCCCAGAGATCAGGCCACGCCCCAATGACGTTTTTTTCATCTCTAGAACAAAAAGTCCTGTAGCAAACTATCCTGTAGCCTTGCAGCTCTTTGCTCCAGGTGTAAGTTTTATAGCCCTATCTAGTGTCTGCCTCCATAATACTGCCCCTTGTCAGGGCCCAGCTAGATCACGTGCTATGAAGCTTACCTATTCTCCTGAAAAAGAGTCAAACGTGTTTGTTCTTGGGAACAGAAGAGTATACTTCTCATGTCAGGATCCCTATCATGCTATCTATGGCAAACATCTCTCCTAAGGAAACACCTCTCAGGATTTAAAGGGAAATTTCTCTGTCTCCTCTCTCTCCCCCTTAAGGCCCCATTGTGCTATCTATGGCCATGATGACACATTTCTCCTAATTCCTATTGTACTTCAAAGCTGAGTCATGGCTGCCCATGGCTGAGGTTCTCCTACTAAAGCTCATTCTGAAAGGTATTTCTGTGCCAGCTCTTTTCTAAGTTATAACAGTTACTTGTGGGAATGTAAAATGGAACAAATACTTCAAATCCATCAGGTTCTTAAAGATAGAACAACTAACCCTCTGATCCAGAAGTGCTGCTCCTGATATTTACTCAAGGGAAATAAAAACAGGTCAACAAAAATATCTAACTTTTCTTACAATAAGCACAACCTGAAAACAAGGAATGCCCATCAGCAATAAATATCCTGTAATATATTCACACAAAAAGTATTCAGACATGTTATACATATATGTAACATTACATTAAGAAGCTGTATACAAGAGTCATATAATAATCCTATTAAATAATATTCTAGAATGAATAAAATTAAGATAAAAAAGTCACAACAGTGATTTCTGGAAAAAGGTAAACTGAGGAAATATTTGAGAGGAAATGGAAATGTTTAAACAATGCATTATCATGTCTTTTTAGTCTGTATTTCTGAAGGTTTGACATTTTGGGACTTTGCTCTCTTAGGACTAAATGACAAACAATTTACTCTAGTGAATCTTTCTCTTGCCAACAACCAGTCTTGATCTTCACATCCCACCATCTTCTCTATGTGGCTCTCATATGCAGGGCCACTAATTTCTTGCCCAATCATCCCAGGTTCTGCCATCAAGTAGACACAGACTGGGCCCCAATGCCCAGATTATTCAAATTAGCCATTCCCAAACCAGTCTTCTCCAGTCCTTCTCTAGAAAACCACAGCAAAAGTTCCTGCTCATATTTGCCCTTTCCATTCCTTAGGGATAACAATATTTTTAGTGTCTTTTCAATGATAGTCATTCTCAGGATCTGTGGACCACAGCATAGTTGAATAAAATATTAAGACATCCGTTTTAAAATATTATGCCTATAAAGGAATTTTTTCTTTAAAACAAAAGAACTATAGAAATAAATTATCAAGTGACCAAATGAGAATACATAAAGAGCAGATAAAATAAAGCTCGAAAAACCATCAATACAGTAGCTTAGTTGCATAAAAGGTACGTGAGGATTGATTGCACTAGTCTGCTTAACATCCATAT